CATCTACCTGAGCAAATGGAACTGTAAGCTTTGTTACAATTTGTAATGAATGATTTTTTGTGATGCAGGTTTGGACCATTGAGGCACCATTGGTGCATGCCATTTGAATCCAAAAATGCACAAATAAAAGCATTTGTTACTGTTTCAAGAATGTACCATTTTCTGTAGATGTACGACACCAGCAGTGGCTGTTATCATCTTGTGGTTCAGCATGGTCAGCACTACTCGTCATTTCTTTATGATGGAGATCAAGTTATGTCAGGTGCAAATGGTGGTTTAATTTTTTCATTATTTTAAGTAGCCAAATTATTTTCACTTATATAATTATTATTTTCATGTAGGTACTTTATGTAACTTGTTTGTTTACAAGCGAGAACTTGATTTACTGTTTGGCAGTTTGCAATCTGAGATTAAAGGAATTAGGTAAGTCAATGAACTTTTTTTGTTACTTCACAAATTATTTTAATGTAGCTCTCAAAATGTAATAATACTTGGAGTCAAATATCAAACTGGAAATGTCATTCGTGTGTCTGGCAACAATCATGAAAAATTTGTATATCATATCATTCATGAGATTTTAGTATTTGAAGATAAGAAGATTTTTATTGTAAAACCACTAAAAGTTATAGAATTTTCAAAGAAATTTTGTGCTTATGAAGTATCATTAATTACGGAATGGCTAAGGCCGCGATGCGGCTGAATGCTATTCTGGATTATATGAGGAAGGTGAAGTGGACCATGTCAATGGTGTTTGGCCTAGTTTTCTAAAATTTCAGTTAGTTTGTAGTAACAATTAGAAAATTTACAGTAACTCGCTCCACCTATGAGTGGGGCTCCACTTTCCCATATAAGCCCTCACCCAGTTTGACCACGTTGGCCTTTTGATAACGAAATATTATTATCAAACCACACAGTCAATGTGAAGTCCTGCATATCAATGATAGCCATATTATTATTATGGGTGGGAGACCATTGATATGCTCGACTTCACCTTCCTCATATAATTGAGAATAGCATTCAGCCGCTTCGCGGCCTTAGCCATTCTGTAATTATATTTCCGAAGGGTCAGTCTCACATATCAACATAGGCGGCAGCAGAATTTTGAATTTACCCAGGATCATTCATTATTCATAACAATTGGGGGTGTGGTCAATTTATTCAATAACTGAACATTAATAATACTAGCCACTTGAAGCCAGTTACCACACAAAAATAACTGTAAAGATGAACTGATACTGTGTATAAAAATTTGTGGTTATAAAAAAATGAATTATAGTGATAATCTCACTCCTAATAATAACAAAACACCTTTTGGGTGTGGTTTTGATTGAAAGCTACCCAGGCATAGCCAAGGCATGCCTGGGCCTGCAGCCGCCTATGCATATCAATGGTGTTGTTTGTAGTTTTAAGGACTGATTTTGCCAAGGCTGTGTCTCATAAAGGCTTATAGTAGAATCACTGAAAGGAGGATTCAGTGTTCCAGTCCGCTGCATTACGGATATTTTCAGTTGTGACTCCCTGCATAACAGCTGCTGATGTACTAGCACTCCTAACAGAGTGAGATTTGAATACACTGGTATCTATTCCAGCTGATTCCATG